TTGTATATATGGATACTCTCTAGCCATTTATATTCCAATCTCAGTAAGAATGTTTATTAAACCTGGAATGTTTTTTGAGGACAATTCTCATTGTACAGTGGTGCAGACACCACTAAGGATAGCCCACTAACATTTTTAGAAACCTGTATTTTTGGTAGTTTCATATGAGCAGCTAAGATTCTTTTAGCACCATTTTTCCTATAGATAATAATAGATATTACAGGTGGTTGAATTTGAGTGGTTGGTGAGGAATCTTTTAGCACACATTTTTCTGTTTTGCTGTAGATATTATGGGTGGTTCCCTTTGGTTGGCTGCAGTGGACTCTGGTGCTGGTTGGAGCTGGTTTGTCGGGTGGAGTCTTGGCCCTCACTCTGTGGCCTGCATTTCGAGAGGAAACAAAGAAAACTGCCTGGCTTGTTATAATACTCATTTTATTGTGCCACACATCACTGGCTGTAGGCTTTAAGGTAACCATTGAAGATAAATTATCATGCTATAGCAGCAAGAGAAACCATGTTTGTAAATGATGTCACAGACACATGGGGGCTGCTCCCCTCCCCATTTTCGTTTTCTAAATCCATGGTTGACACACTTTTTCCCTATTTTTTATTCTAATATTACTACATGCTAGCGATAAAGTATCACTTTTGTCGCTATAAGCTGTTTTCAAATATATTGTTTTCCACTGATATATGAAAAGATATTCAGAAATATTTCGTATTGATCAACACACATCTGTGAGGATTTGCTATGATAAGTTATCATGCACTAAAGAGTTATTTACAATAAAAGTGAGCCACAAACAGCAGCAAATTAAAAAATGCTTGGATTATATCATTATTTTTTTTTATTTCAGCTCTATTTTTTCAATGCTCCTGTGCATGACGTATCAACACAGACTAGCCCAGCCCCAACATCAACAATGAAAGTCTTCACATCACCACATATACCAAACAAACTGAGTTTAAAAGTTACCAAGTCAGCAACTACTGGGAATTCACGGAAAAAGAAGCCAACAAATTTAGCAGCTCGTCCCTCTAAAAGTGTAATCCCACACTCAACTAAAGATAAAATCACAACTAAAGATAATATCAGTAATAAAAATAGAAAATCCGTAGCAAGAGAAACAACATCAAAAGGATGAGGTTAATGAAATCACAATGTTGATAATGAATTGTTCTAGAAATCCAGCTTGAGCTTTTGAGAGAGTTGTAAGGCTGAGGAGGACAAATTGTTTCTAATACTAGTATATACATGTACCATTATTGCTGATATACATGTATGTACACAAAAGTAACACACCTGTATTTATTTATTTATTGCATTATTATCAGTATTTTCAAGCATGACACTCAATGACATGCCTCATCAAGTTATTTCTAATATAAAAGAAACATTCAGTTTCTCATGAGATGGAAAGTGTTTCATTAAATTTTGACTGTTTTTTTTCTCTATTTTGTGTTCCTTTTTTCTCTCTTTCTTTGATTAAGATCTATGACTTTAAACAATAAAAGATTATTTTAAAGATTATTTTTCTTTCCTTAGAATCTCATACAATGAATGTGATATACATGTAGTTTGTCACTCTCAAAATATATAATATTGGTTATTAATTTTTGATTAAAAATTATGAAGGAAAAAACCTAATTAGTCATCCTTATACTTTTTCTGCCAAACCAATGAATAATGTATTTAGATACCTTATTTAAGGGATACCCCAATAAAGTGTCTTGGGGTTTGCGTGATAGGGACGTATGGACAACATAGGCGTCAGAACCGGAGGGGAAGGGGGGGTGCTAGGGGGGCTTAGCAAATATATACATAATATAGTAGGGATGTCAACAAATATTCGAATATTCATTCGATGAGGTGATATTCAAATATGAATTTATGATTCGAATATTCGTTTTTTAAGTATATATGCATTTAAAAGAGAGAAAAATCTGTCAAGTTAAAAAAAATCTAAGTTGTCTTGCAGCCAGACAAATAGAATCGAGCATATGATTTGATACAAAATTTAAGTACATTCCTCTTTGATTATCTTTAAGGTGTGAAGAGTGTTTCTATAAGAATCATTTGATAATTAAATTAGTGGTATAACAGTGTTCAGTAATTACAGTTAGTTTTAATTGTTGTATGGACACAGTTTCAGTTCAGTTTCAGTTTTATTGAAGTCGAGAGACATACATCTCATAGACATAACACATGTACATGTATAATAATGAAATATACATACATCTTAACACGTGCAATAATGGAATAAACATACAACGTACATGTACAAAGCATATAATATTTCTGATAATCTATAAAATTGATAAAGATGCTGTTCTTAAGGCATTCGCTAATTGCAAAAATTTTCCTAAATTACATAATTCTTTTATATTCTGTGTACTGACTCTAGCTGAAATTTGATTCAAATAAATTGAAAACGTATATTGGTTTCGGGAGTAGTAGGATTATAATAATTATTTTTTTCATCGAATGTGTTGTAATGTGGACATTTTAACACAAAATGGAATATCTTCTATGTTACCTAATTTTGACAGAGACTACATGTTATGTTATTTGAAAAGTTTTATTATATCTTCCTTGTTCAATCATTAAGTTAGCCCCCCACTTTCAGATAGTCTTCAATCTGGTAATTGTTACTCTATATTTTAGATGTATTGGTTTACATAAATAAGACTGAAGGGTAAAATTATCTACCAGGTGTTGATAAATTATGACATTTTGGTGATTTATTTTAAATCTGACATAATGTTTTGGATACAATTCTATCACACATTCTCTGATATAAAATATCAATTGTGTTACTATTTATACAATTGCTATCGAATAGTTCTACTAAACCAAGCCTATAAAATTCATTCTTAATATTTACAATCCAGTCATCATTATTTTCTAACCTTTCTTGTAGAAATGCTTGAAGAAAATTGTCACTATTTCTTAATTTTAACCAGTATTTAAAGATTTTCTTTTTCAAAGACCAATTCAAGAGGCAATTTACCTAATTCACAATATACCATACTGTTATGTCTTCTCTCTTTGTGTTCTTTTAAAAACTTGAACCTCGCCCATAATTTTTGTTTAGACACAGCTATGGCCTTCATATTTCACATTTGTTTTCTTTTAACACAGACCATTGGGTACCATATAAGACCTCTGATTTGGTTTTATATTTGACCTCTTTACCTTGGACTTGTTTTGACTTAGTTTTGCAAAATCTGTTTGCGCTTTCTACTTCAAAGTACATTTCATGGCTAGAACTTTCCTTGCATACAAATATTTTTGTATTTTGTTTTTGCAAATTTACCATTTTTAATAAACAAAACCTTGACCATAACTTTTGAATATTTGGTGCTAGCGCTTTTATGTTTTATTTGAGTATTCCTTGTGGCAAGTTCTTCCACTGTTACCAACAATTCTATTTTTGATTGCAACAAGAGAGGCCTTTTGCAGGACTCTGGATGAGTTACCTTTTTGATAGCTGTAGATTTGACTTTAACCATGATACCTCCAGTAAACTGGACAGAACTTTAATGAAGCTTTTTCAGTTAGCTGTCACTGTAGCCATGATTCAGTAAATGGTTTTAAAATTTATTATATTTTTTGGTGACTTCTATTGATGGATCAATTATTTTATTATTTTACAATAAGACTCTATCCATGGTTCAGATCTGATCGAGTTGAAGTTATATTACAGACCAATGCCATTTCTTAAGTAATCCCAGCCATTAAAATGATGGATTGAATTTAATTGATCGATCATTCCATTATCTAAGCTATATAAATTTATTGCTCTCACATAAACTGTTGACCACTTACCAATAATTAGTAATTGTATTACTTTTCTGCACCAAGAAAATTTTATGTTGATACCATAGATCGTGAACATAATCAAAAGCTTTTTTATGTCAAAAAGGTTCCAATCTTCCCAGCTACATATTAATGTTTTGAAAAAGAAAACGTAGCCTATTTTGGCTATATCAATTAATATTACAGGTAGAACATCTACATTAATGTTTAATTTCACGTTTCCTGTGTTGTTTTCTGCTTAAAAACCTCACAGTGGCAAGTGCATATTATAAAGCATGAAACTTGGCATCGCGGTAAGTATGTCGAAGTAAAAAAAATGTCATTTTTATTCGTTCTTTTGCATGTATTTACATTGTTTCACCTAACTATATTTACCCCTCTAGGTGAAATGTTGCAACTTATTTGTAAAATAAATTTAGCAGTGAAAGTTCATAGTATGACCGAGCATCGGAGCATACAATTCTAAAATTGAAATTTTAAAGTGAAAAGTTCTTCATGCCTATTCCATCATTCAGAACTTTTTTTTACTGGATATAAAATCTTTAACCGATATTATCTACAGTGCGTGTTTAGATGAAAGTTCTACAATCTATTGGAATTCCCATGGGTACCAATTGTGCCCCGTTATCGGCAACAGTTATTTCCATTCTTATGTCGACACGATATACTAGTATCTCGGTGAGCTTGAAATAAAAGATATCATAGATTCTGACATATCTGTTTCATATTTGAATCATCTAGAAAAAGATGCTATAAATGGTTATCTAACAACCGAGCTTTATGATAAACGTGATTACTTTGACATTTCAATCGTCAACTTCCCTTACTTATGCAGCAATATATCTTCATCACCTGCATACAGGGTTTATATATCTCAATTGATTCGATATACAAGAACATGCTCTACGAATGTTCAATTTCTAAAACGGGGTAAATTACTGACAAACAAGTTGATGAATTAAGAATATATATCAGCAATCTTGTTTAAAGTATTCATTTCATAAGATCTATGGTCGATATAGCGACCTTGTCAGCAAATACATGCATTGTTTAGTAATGGATTTTTTTTTTACAAAAAAAATTAACATTAAAAACTTCAAATCTGTGTTCATGTCAAAAAGTAAGTGCATTTATATTGCGTTTTTGAATGGTGGAGAAATAAAAAAAAACAAGAAAATAATGGATTTTCCTAAAATGTATTACAACTACAAACAAATCATTTTCAACAAATAATTCTGATGTCTCAAAATATGAAAATTGATGTTTATAACTGCATGTTACTATATACAGTAGTCGATTGATATGTCTCATCGTATTACCTGACAATTCACAACAAAATAAAATTAGGTAAATCTATTAAATGCACTCTCTCTCTCTCTCTCTCGTTCTCTTAAACAGTAGAATTTCAAAACATTAAAAAGTCACTAAAATCAAGCAGTTAAAGAAAACTTTTCAAGAGCCTGTTGAGTTTCAAAAGTAATTATTTTTCATTCTAAAAAAGATGTACAATTTGTCAAAATAAAATACTATCTCTGATAATGGCATCTTATATGATTAACATTATTGAAAAATAAATTAAATGTAGAATTGCAAATTTCCTTCTTTTATTTTATCACAGTCACAAACTGTTCAGTCAATTTTTTGAGGTAAGGCTGTTATGTTGGGACCTATATCAGTCTAATCCCAAGCTATAATGGACAGCAGTTTAGAGTTAGAGATGATACATGTGTTTGTTGAAGTTTTCCGGACTGAACACTTTGCCGGTATCATTTTTGATTTAATTAGTATTTTTCAAGGTCTTCAAAAGCTTCGTTCGTGTGGCCCAAGTCGTCAGCTCTTGAAGTAGCACGTGAAGAGAATCCTTTTGCGTTCCTTCTTTTTTTTCATTTCATCCAAACGTTCCTGTAGCTTCCGGTTCTGTATTTCTTTCTTGGCTGCCAGTCTGTAATGAAATTCAAAAGAATTGTCAGTAGCAGTAGTGTATTTTTCGGCACTTCTGTGTCTATCTTGAATGTACGTGCATAATCCTTTCGAATTTTTAATTTGATTCTGACAATCATTTTCTCATGTTAACATCTACAGTCTACTCTGACAAGCACATGCATAGGAATTCAGACTAAATAATTAGAAATCATTTTCTAAAATGAAGCACACTCTTTATAAACAAATTGATAAACAAGGATATCAATAGTCTCGTTTATAGGAGACATTTTTTTTCTTCAAATTTTCTGATCGATACAAGATCAGAAATTTCTTAAATCAGAAGTCGAATGCTGACTGGAGATTTTTTTTTACAAGCGTCTGACAATGATCTACACACTTGATTGACCACGGATGTTCTCATTCGCTCGATCATGACAAGGAGCACACCGCAATTAACGTATCGCCAAACCCCGCCCATCGCGCAATGGGAGATAACTCCAATGGCGCTCCGACATCATCAACATTGCGAGTAATGTTGACTTGTCCGAAGTTCCTGTGATTTTGTTGCAAAGTATTTGCCATAAAAACCCACTTTTAGACAAAAACAAAGGGCAAATGCTTTTACAATGGGTATATATATTCAATCACTCAAATATTCAAAAATTACTCATTATTTCTGAGTTCTTTTGCAAACATTGTTTCCATCATACTGTTAGCTGTCGACGAAGGAAAAAAAGCAAATTACAGAAACTTATTGCGACTGCAAAGCTGGGTAAATTATGTATTACAGCAAAGGCCTTTAATTCAATTTGCTAAATGTTGAAATTTGCAATAACACAAAACCCATGCGACATCGTAAAGACTTGCTTTTAGTTTCTTGGATATAAATTCTGAAAGGGGGGCCGATAAAGGAGCTGAGTCATTTTGGAAATGAAATCTGTCCTCTACTGGAAGGAAATAAATAATCTGGCCCCACCCCATCCCACGTAAGAGTTGTCGACGGTGTTTTATTTCTTTTTTTTTTAATTTCATTTATTTATTTTTTCAGCTTGTTAGAATTTCATAGGCGAAGAGGATAATAAATAATTAATATTTGCCATTAAAAATAAATAATGGTCCTTCACCGAGCATGAAAATTATTAATCTGACATTTCGGAAAAAATTCCCCCCCCCATTCCAGAATAAATGGTCGTCCCACAAAATTCTATAAATTTGACTTTGGAAAAACAGAAGCAGCACGTTTGTCACATGCAGTTAATCTGTAAGTTGGTTCTATTTCTTTCTTCTTTACTTTTAAGTTCTGAAAAATGTGCAGTAGTTGCATGGTTAAGAATATATATTGTAGTCAGTTTAAATATATTTCAAATCTAATGTACCCGGATATACAAAGTTCACAAATGGGACAACCATGTTATAGTACAATTTTTTGTACAAAAAAATATCCTCATTACTTCAGTCTGGACTAATTCCTTAAATCATATATAGCATTTTTTTTTTTGAGATATTGAATATAATACCGGTAATGACATTTCTTTACAATAAAAATAAATGAAGTCATTTAATTTTTATCAATAATTTCTGACAATTTTGAAATGTTGACGGTGTTCTCCATAAATAATACTAGTAATCATTAAAAGTTAATTTTTAGTGATAGAATAGAATCATTTTATTGGATTAAATCTGATTTAATTTTTTTTTTTAAATGCGTAAAAGTAAAAGTTTATAATAATGCATATTGAATAAACACTGGTAAAAAAAAAAAAAGCTATCAGACACTGTTGAGTTATAATAAGCACGATAATTGAAATTACTAACTCAAAAAGCTTATAGTTATCTTTTAAAAATAAATGCACGTTTTTGATCAATAATTTTGAAGGTAAAATATGCACGTATGTAGAAGTGTTACATGTAGAATTGGGGGCCATAAAACTTCAAGCTCACTTTTGATCACAGTCTCACTTTTCCACTAAATCTTCCTTTGGTAAAAGTGAGACCGAGATCAAAAGTGATTTTGTTTAAGTTTTATGGTCCCCAGGCCTGAGTTTACGTTTAGATATATTCTTATGTGTATGTATATGCATGTTATATATTTAAAAAGATCGAAGACAAGCAGTCTGTAAATCATTGCACAGGTGCTTGTATTTTTCAGGATTATTCAAAACCTTCCGTTTCAATATTAAAAAAAATCATGTTAAACGTGAAACAGCTGAATAGAAGTTGCATATGATTGATATATTTCCGTGATTTTCAAATAGAAACATATAGATTAAGTTGTCAGAGAATGGAAATGAAGAAAGAAGAATCAGAATTTTTTTTTAATATTAAAAAGGGGGGATCTCCACGAGCACCTGTGATACTGTACATAGATTTATCATTTATTTACACTCAATACCGATTTTTTGTGTATCTTTATCAATCTAAGAAAGTATAAATGTATAAACATGAAAAAACAAGTAAACAAGTTTTATTTCATTTCCTGACCAAAATATTTAGAAGTCCCGATTGACCTAAAACGTGTTGTCAGGTCCCGAAACATCGGCGTCCCGAATCATCGCGGTCCAAAAACATCCATGATTCCCTTTCGGGATACCTGTCGTCAGTGTTACACGTTTCCAAACTGAATCTTTTAACGATAATTGGACTTATTTGTTCAATTTCTTCATTGCCGACTGCTCGCTCATGCGAGTGTTTGTCGGAGCATATGGCGGAGCAAGTGTTTTCTGATCGCGCAGAATAAATAAAATTATTTCATTGGTTGAAAATTTGTTGTGATTGACAGCTAGCGATACGTTAATTTATATGACCGGTCGAAAGGGGATGCTTTCTCCTCAATGGCACCTGATCCACACTCAGATGGCTTTAGAGGCCTGTATTTGAACTACTATGTCTCAATGGACTTTTGAGCCCGATTACTGATGTTACCTCCGTACTTAAATTTCTAAGTAATGTTTCTCTCCAAGTACAGTGTACATGTATTGATTTTTAGTATCCAAAGAACTTTTAGCTCACCTGTACAAAACTTGCTTCTAGGGATGGACACTACAAAATTTGCTTCAGGAGCTGGATCTCACCTTCAATTATCAGATGAGCGACCAAGATTTAATGTTTTTGAGAAGTTCCACTTCCAAGTAACTATAAGTCCTCCCATGACCAATATCTTGCATCTAGGATGATGCATCTACATGTAGGGATGTACACTACCAGACTTGCTTCAGACGCTAGATTTGACTTACATTTTACAGGTAAGTATTTTAGCAGTTCCAATCCTTATTATAATAACTATAATTTCTACTTGGACCATACTTGCATGTGTTAGTATCATGTATTTAAGAATTGTGCACAACTGGATTGGGTTCGGATGCTTGATCTGACCTAGATTTACCAAATGAGTCACTATGAGCCCTGCTTGGACCAAACTTGCCTTTTTTGTTTATTTATTCATATTATTGCTAACGAAACCCTTTTCTAACCCCAGAGAGATTAAGAAGCCATAAATATGACAACGTTGCAGATAGATTCCCCACATTTGTTCCATACTCCCGTTTTCTCCTATGGCTCTTGCTAGCTAGGATTACTTCTTCCAAATCAACTTTCTAAGAAAACCCATTGATATTTTTCTTGGAAATTGGGGTCACTGAAAACCATTACACCGGAAATGGACTTTTCAATCTCCCTCTCTAATGAGGATTACTGAGTATCTGTCTTTTCATGAAAGTAATGCAGTCAGGTTTCTTTGAAGACGACACAATTCCATCCTTATACTTTGCAAGATCCGTTTTAGACATTCAATAGTCGCCTAAAATTCTCGGAGAGAATTATTGTAATAACACCAGAATTTATTGACTTCGTTTCTGTCAATTTTGCATTAAGAATGGTTTCCGGAATTATAAGGGTGGGCATAATCGATCCTGGTCTATCAAAAGTTTGCTACTTATGTTTGTTTCTATTGTTTGGATTCTTTTGTTGATCAAAACCTTTCCCTTTCAATTCTTTATATTGATGACTAAAAATTAATGATGGGAACTGTTTCTCCCGAACACTGGTCTGACATTTTATGAGAGGAACAAAGCAGGGGATTTATTATTTCACGTACTTGTTTAAGCTTCCTTTAACTTGTGTTCGGTTGACAACAGCAATGAATTTTTAATCTCACTCTTGTTATCATTAACCCTAAATAATCTTGAAAGATTTAAAAAAAATATATCAATATTTTTTTTTACAATCAAGTTCATTTGTTTAAAAGAATGAGTTTGAACTGTTTTTATTAATTTGAATTCTCCATCAGATGAGGAGAGAATATGTTACACTCACAGGCCATTGCAAACTTTTGCTTTGTCACTTAGTGTTCGTAACAAATGATTGTCTCTAGCTGATTTTACATTGAAATGATGAATATTCCCTGAAGTATTGTAGATGTCATTATTTTTTTGCACAAAGAAGGCATTCAACCTATTTACATGTTAACGAAATCGCTTAGAAAAAGAGAAAGCTTAAGTAAAAATATTTTCAGGTAGTCATAATGCAGAAATATCGGAAAATATAAAGCCAGATAGTCGATCATACTGTAAAAGAAAATCGAATATCCTGATATGTACCAAAAGGTTAAAATCCTCATTGTTTTCAAGTTAAACAATTTTCATTAACATCTATTGTTCAGTATATATTGCGATAATTATTCTTCGTTTTGACTTGTATCACATGATCAACTTTGTGTACGAGTAATTTTTATAGAGGTTACGAAGTATACCAGGGGCTTAGATGATTTCTATAGAGTTAGTTCTTTGGGACTAGCTTCAGGGGTCCTAACAAAACTAGGTCTAGTGGTGTTGAAACATACAAAATATTAATGCCAGTACTAAAGAGAAGACTAGTAGGATTTTGCAGTTCGTTATAATGAATAAATTCAAATTTTGAGTTTTCCTCGTATATCCCATTCATCTTTTATAGATTAAAAGTCTATTTTTTAAAAACTTCATTTTCCAGTTCTTAGGAGAAAACATTCTAAGAATTATCCACTTTTATAAACATGTGACATGATATTAAGTCTCCTCCAAAGAAAAAAAAAATTGTTTGTATCATCTGTCCTTAAGTCGCTTTAACTCATAAAAACAAAGAATTATTTTCGAAAAATCAAGATGCGATATCTACGGTTTTGTGGGAGTCAATGAATTAATGAATAAAAAAGCTAATAAAAAGAGAATATTTTTAGATCAAAATCCATTTGAGCAACTGTTTGTTTTAGATATCGTCGAATATCTGATAAGATGTCCCTTGAGGTTGTGTTGTATACTTACTGTTTGTCCACCAGTAGGGCCTTCTCCAGTAATTCTGAAGCCTTCTCTGTATACTTACTGTTTGTCCACCAGTAGGGCCTTCTCCAGTAATTCTGAAGCCTTCTCTGTATACTTACTGTTTGTCCACCAGTAGGGCCTTCTCTAGTAATTCTAAGGCATTCTCTGTATACTTACTGTTTGTCCACTAGTAGGGCTTTCTCCAGTAATTCTAAGGTTCTCTCTGTATACTTACTGTTTGTCCACCAGTAGGGCCTTCTCCAGTAATTCCAAGGCCTTCTCTTCTGTGGTCTTCTTTTTGACTGCCCGTTCCTGTCGCCTCTTCTCTAACATCTCGGCGTGACGGTGTCTCTGATACTCCATCTGATGGTCCGCAGCCGCCATGTTCTTCATTATCAAATCGGTCTCCTAAAGGATCATTCGTTGTTTTAATTAATGTTTGAAATATTCATTTACGCATATGTGTTGTGTCATGCCAGTGTTCAAAAACAAATTTAAACTCTTCATATGATATAGTCCTCGAGAATTAAAGAATTAAACTAATATGACATTGCAAAATCTTGATTAAAAAATAGGTATTCATGCTGAAGTTTGGAATGGCATTTTGGCGGGAAAGCTATGAGAACTTTTGTTTAGGTTCTTGCTTAAATAACAGATATCTTCCTGACCATGTCATTACCTCTTCGATGGTTTTCTGTGACATGACGGGTGTGGGTAAACTTCTGGAACTGATAACGCTAACAGGACGTTCATTGTTAGGGGAATGTATGCTCGGGTTACTGTGAACACTGAGAGAACTTCCGGTCCTGTCCTTCTTTTTCCGGATATAGTCCACCACAGCTGCTCGACTTCTAGCATCATCTCTTTCGTTAACGATTGAAATTCTAGAAGAGGCTCTGGAAGCTTGACTTTTTCGTCCTTTCTTTTCCAGATACTTATCGACCGCTTGCTTTTCGTATTCAATTCGTCGTTGTTCTGTCAATATAATTGTTTTCATTACGACATTGAAATGTCCGTGACTGAGTAAATATCAATACACCCGAATTGCAAAACTACATCAATTATTTGAAATTCTCGACTTCAGATGGGTAGTGTAGCAATTAAATGCAATTAAATGCTTCAAGAAAAAAATATCATCATCAATACTTCTACATTGGTAAACAGAAGTAGACAAGATATCACATTTATTTATACCAAGCATTCGAGACTCGGCTCTCAGTTGTTCGGTTTCGTCTTCAAAATCCAGCATGGTTCCCCGAAGTTCCATCCTGCTTTCTTCAATGGCGTCTATCATGTCTTCTGTCTCTTGTTCAAATAAGTCAAGTAGAGATTCAATGAAGGCTTTCTGCAATAAAAATAATAACCAAAAATAATATCTAGAGACATTAATGATTTATGTACATGGCTATATTTTTAGGAATGTTCTAGAAAATTTTCAAGAATATTTGATCAAATTCTGAATGTTTCAGACTAAAAATTCTAGATTAATTTTCAAAGTGATTTCAAAATTATAAACTCAATGCTGGTATTTTTGTTTTGCTTGCTTTATCGTGTCTGGTGATTGGAAATATGTCATTCATCTATAATGATGTTAACAGTTATCAAACTCAATAAAACTGTGAAACAATATAAATCGGGAGCAGAACACTGTTTAAACATCAGAGGTGGGATTGGGTAACATAGAGGAGTAAGCATCCCATGTCGACTGGTCACACGCGTCATGCTCTCATTGTTACACGATCGGACGAACAAAAAATCCGTATACAATTCAGTAGAAAATAATGCCTAACAGTTAGTGTGAAAAAGTCAGCATTCGACAGAATGATATAGGTATTGTAAATGCTGACAAGATAACCCTTTCAGGTTCTGGACATTGTGTACAGACTTTAAAAAAACAACAAACTGAAATTCAATAGTTTTAATTTAAAACTACATTACTATTGTCATTTCTTGGATTTAATTCTACAAGGGATAATACAACTTATACTCATAGCTCCCTTACTTAGGAGGGAATTTTCAAAATCATATGTCAGTTTTGAATATTTTTGATATCCCAAGCAACCAATATGAATTCAAATATATATCTATTTTGGATACCGAAACTTCATAAAAATTCTTACAGATAAAGATACATAGCGGGTTCCTGTAAATCTTTTACCAAGCCTCTTTCTTTACTCCTCACTAAGATTATTAACAGTATTAAAGGAGAAACTCCAAGAATACTGTGCAATAGTATAGTCGAGAAGTGGTGTAAATCAGATGTGGATACTTAAAAATTCCAAGGAGCTTTTGGAATATTTGAAATCACAAAATTTTACTAAAATCAACATTATAAAATCTTGCGACTTTTAAACCTGAAATACAACCATTCCCTACGATAAATTAAAGCCAAAGCTTTCTGACATCAATGACTGCTGCTTTTTCGATAAGAATTGAACTTGTAAATTTAGTTGTCGTTGGTTATTTGCAAAACTATTTTTAAAAAAACATTCTGATTGTACACACAAGTACTCTGAATATTAATATTAAAAAGAAGCTTGAATATATATGTGACCTCTGATTTTTTGGAGGCTCGTGCTTGCTCTGCTCCAATTTTGCATTTTTAATGGACCTTTGAGCTTGAATACTGTTCATTATCATGGTTATCTCCATACATTTCATTAAAACATGAGAGTATAAATGAAGAAAAACATTGCAATAAGCAGACTACTTTAATATTTTTCTGAGACATATACTACAGTAAGTTTCTTCTGATAAAGGGATTGAGTGAGGTGGTAAAGAATAATTATAACAATGTGTACTGATCAAACCTAAAATTACAACCGAAATTGTTGTCTAAACCATATTCTGTAAAAATAGAACTATATTGTAATTGTTTCTTGAACAAAACAATCACTAGCTACAGAATGGTATTGCTTATTGTGTTTTTATAGTATAGGATATATTTATATTCGTTTCCAAAATGTCGATAATAATTCAAAGTTATTTAGATCCAATGGGGTTAAAAATAAATCATATAAAAAAATATGAAAAGGTGAAATGTTGAATAGTGATTTTTGGAATATGAAGATAACGAACAGTATTCAAGATCATTAATATTCAATAATTAATTATAAGTATTACATTTTGTGCTACAATTTGACTTTTTTCTTCTTGAAATCAAAACGACTCGAATAATAATGTTTTCCAGTAAAAAAAAAAATGAATCTCGCAAATTTTTAAAACTTGCACAGCTACTAGTATATCGTATCTTTAACATGAATGCAAAATAAATTTTGAAATTAGTACTCCAAAAAAGATACATTACAAGGGTTTTGTTTTTTAAGTTTCAAATTTAAGTACAATGTATAATTTTTTTCCATGTAACAGCGATCATACCGTCAATCATTATTTCCTTATAAAATGTCACCAAGGTCCTGTGAAGGAGAAACTCTCGTTTTAACCAAAATGATACATGAGGAGATAACGAAAAGTATTGGAGCTCAAAAGTTCATTAGGCATTACAAAATATGAGCGAGCAACCACAGACCTCCAAAACACCAGAGGTGGGATCAGGTTCCATGGAGGAGTGAACATCCCCTGCGGACCGGTCACACCCGCCGTGTGCTCCTTTTCAATATTGGGAAATAACGGGGGAAAAAAATCGGACAACTCAGTGTGTAAATAATAGCCTAACAATCAGTATGAAAAAAAGTCAGCATTTGACTCAATGATAAATAGTATTTGCAGACAAGGTCATCGTATTGACCAAAGAACTTACAAACAAATGACGACTTTAAATGAGACTGCTGATATTCTTGCTTAATCAACTTGTTTTTCAATAACTTGCCGTTTAGAAATTGTTCATACGCAGAACAAACGAATCGACTGAAAGATATAAATTCCGTATGCAGGTGATAAAGGTATATTGCTGCAGAAGTAAGGGAGGTTGACGATTTAAAAGTTAAAGGTATCACGTTTATAATAAAGGTTTGCTGTTAGATAACCATTAACGCCTCTTTCTAGTAAAAGATCCAGATATGAAACAAATGTATTAGACCTTGTGGTATCTTTTATTTCAAGCTCAACGGGATATATCGTATCGACATAAGAATGGAAATCACCATTGTTAATTGACAGTACGTCGTATATCTAAATGCCGAGTTGAAGGTCACAGCAAGTGTTTTCTTTTCACGTAAAAGATTTTGAACAAAGTCTGCTTCATATGAATACAAAAAATAGGTCTGTTAATAACGGGGCGCAAATGGTACCCATGGGATACCAATAAATTGTTAGAAGACCTGGTCTCCAAAACCACATAGATATTGTCAATCAGAAACTTAAGCATCTCTTTAATATCAACTTTTATAAGAGTACTTGGGTGTACAATCAGAATTTTTTTTTTTTTTACAAAGTACTTGTAGTTTTGCAAATGACCAATCACAAGTAAATTTACGAGTTCCATTCTTATTCAAAAAGCAGCTGTCAATGATGTCAGAAAGCCTGGACCGTAATTTATCGCGGGAAATAGTTGTATATGTATAACAGGTTGAAAAGTGGTTAGTTTTTATGTTGTTAATTTTGGTTAAATTTTGTGATTTCAAATGTTCCAAAAGTTCCTTGGAATTTTCCAGTATTCATGTCTGCGCAAATCCATTATAGATATTGTCATTCAAATTCATTTTGGTTGTTTGGAATATTAAAAATATTCAAAACTGACATATGATTTTTGAATTTTTGAAGAATTTCCTCCTTAGCAAGGGAGATACAGCTAGGTTTAACTTTTGAATCGTCAACAACTTCCGTTACTTGTAATGCAATATACACACATCACCTGTTCACGGGGTTTGTGTTTCCCAGCTGATTAGACTAGCTGGCAAGAGCATACTCAATGCATGAATTATTTCTAAAACGAGGCAAGCTATTGACATAAACGTTGATGAATCAAGGATATCGAGTGACATTGGACAGTATTCAGAGTTCAAAACCCTTTACCCTCAGTTGTAAATGTTGCATAATGTAAAAATGTAATGTTTAATATTATGCATAGTGCATAGTTTAAAGTACATTTTTATGTTATTTTTAGGTTCTTCAATTCAAACGGGATTATTTTTTCATATCAGATGGAACGGTTGCTTGTATATTCAATTACTACATGTATTTCCAAATAATACATCACTGAAATTATCGAAGTAAGCTAGAAAGAGAGGGGAGATTCTTTTCTCGGACTAATTGAGAAATTCTCAATTTATTATTTTTTAATCAGCGGAATATAATTTTTTTTGTTTTAAAGCAAATCGGCTCAACCATATAGTCCTATATTAAATGGTGATAGTATTCGCACCAGCTTCCATTATTGTTAAGTTAATTGCATCTCATTAGCGAATGTAGCTGTCACAATACAAACAGAGATCTGCCCAGATCTCATTTCACGGTTCAATAAATCCGGAAATCAATCAGCGTGAGTATACCCAACAAACATGGACGCCATTTAGGCATGCCGATACAGAAATAATTATTAACACGACATTGTGAAAAGTTGGGTTTGAATTAATTGATTTCTATTTATTTTCGCTCGTGTGTGGGTACAGAAGAAGTCTTCTTACTTTATTTATCCTTTTCGATTGTTATGGTTTATTTATATATTTGGATTAAAGTTCACTCACAAAGAAAATTAAAATTTAATGAATATGCCTCTATATTGAGATACTATTTAGAAATAATGTTATCATCTTTATATGATCTTTGTTTTCAAAATTATTTAAGAATTTTTTTATTTTATATTTTGCTTTGCAGTTGGTCCCTTTTGAGAGTTTTTTTAAAATTAACTTGGGTTTACTACCGTTATTGTTAATTTGTCTATCGTTATATTTAGAATTGCAGGCTCTTTAAATAAGTTTTAATATTATATGGCGATTCTGTCCTCTCAAGTAATACGGACGATTCTTAATAAATTTTGGCCAATCCACAGTTCTTCTCATTGTAGCTGCAGGTCTGTAGAGTTATGGTTTTATATATTTGTCTTTGACCATAACGTCAAAGACAAAGATATAAAAAAAATAACGCTACAGATCTGCAGCTATTCTTATTGTTGAACAAAGACATCCAACGGGCAAACATGTGTTTTTGTTGTCGTCGTTGTAATTTATTTTGAGTTAAAATGGAATATACTTTAATTCACATGTGTTTTAGATCTAACAACACAGAAGGACCAATTTTAAATATCTATCATAAATTTAACACGCATACATCAAAAATAAAATGATTCAAAATTATGTTAAATCAACTTTCAAAAAGCATTGCTTGGCCGATGACACTATGTACCAACATGTAAATAAAGGGATTAATTTCAAGGGTCAACAGAGTCAAATATAAGATCAATTGTGTCTTTATTAGGAGGGTGTATACGTAAGGTTTTGTAGAATTTAATAAGTTTTGATATTAACAATTAATATAAAGTCCAAAAAGTTTATTGAAGAAGTACGTAAAATAAATTCCTTTTCACAAAGTAACACTAAAAAGACAAACATTTGTTCAGTTTAATGGAGTTCTTAATCCCTTTGCTTTTAAAGTTGTGTTTTCCTATGGCAATATTTGTAAATATAGCATTGTGTAAACAATACAAGGAAATAGCATGTAAAGAAGGGAAATTTTAATATCAAAAGAATCTTCTACATTGTATATGATTGTTTATATTGCATATTATCATAATGTTGTTTAGCAAGTAAACAATATACATGCATATTATGTGAAAGAAATGACCGCACAAAATGAATATTCAGTTTTTTTCACGAAGCAATGTTGTGAAAAGCCTATTGAAGCAGATTCAAAATGGTTTAATTTATACATAAGCTATCATTGATTTCTCCTTAATAAAATTTACCTCTATGATAATTTTGCTTTAAGATCTCAAATGATCATTAAAATTGCAAGAACTTGTCAACATTACATGTTTAACAAAGGAGCCTGTTAACGAATTTTAATTTGCGCGAAATAATCAATTGTTCCGGTCTTTATTTGATACCAGATCAAAGGCCCAGTGAGAAATATTCTTTAACCCATTATTCTTACACAGTGATAATTCGTAGAATACAATATCGAAAGAAAGGTTTAAGTTAAATCGAACACTCTGGAGCCAAAAAAAAAAACTAGAAACACAAAAAAGTCAGTGAAGCTTTGTTAGGCCTGATCAATAGGGAGAAAGAAGGAGATACCTTTCTCTTCATATCGTAATGGAATACATGTATATAAAATGAATAACTACGAGTAATGAAGATTATTTGAAGATTTCAGACAGTCTTCCAAGAAATAATCTTTCACACAGTAAAGGTTCATACTGAGAAAGCAGATAGATACAGTACAAAGTAATTTAAATAAAAACAGACACAATTAATATGAACTTTGGAGAGAAAGAAAAGAAGAGTTTTTTAAAGGAAACTGTTAAATACATTTTTAAAAATTAATAATGTAAGCTCTAAACTTAAACCTACAGAAATCTATAACTGACTGTACCAACAAATAAAGAGAAGCTCATGAATTATTGAACTGGAACGTCCCAAAAGTCTATCCTTTTACGATAATGGATATTAGGATGAAAATTTGAACGATAAGTAAAGATAAACGTTGTTTGAAAAGGAAACACTGAACAACGGAACCAAAGATAACCATAAAGATTATTTGAAGTATGAACACAAGAGGACAAAAAGCCTACTCTTCAGTGATAGTGGAAAAGATCTACTTTAGACCTGTGACTGTGTATTTTATTTTGAAAAATAAATAAAAATTCCGGAGGAAAAAAGATAATTTCTTGCGACGTGATAAAGAGGGAATAAACCACCTTGATTGAATACAGAAGTACAAATGTATGTCCTATAGTTCTGGGGAAAGCGACAGTTTATTAAATGAAACTATGATTCTTTTCCCTTCCGACCTAACGTCTAATGATGCTGGGAATTCTTTATACATGTACATTTCAAATTTACTATACAGTTCCACATGAATAAAAAGCTATCTGTACAATACAATAATCTTATTTGTTTACTAAAATTCATTACTTAACATCACATATGCTTAATTAATGCTTTTTGAAGGCTCGTTTGAATTATCTTCAAAATGGAAAATGCCACACGGGATGGCAGCACCATCATAGAGAGTCAAGTCAGATTAGCTGACCATTGAAATGAAAGCATTAAGTAATGTGCTATACTGTGGAAGCCTCATTTATAAATCCTCATGATTAGATCACATACGTATTTGTCCAATCATTCACAAGTGTTATTTTTCAAAGGGAAAAAAGCTTCATTTTTTGCCGTTTTCCTCAAATAAGCATTTTTGTTGGCAAATATAATCTTAACATTACAAATTTATTTTAGTAAACAAAAAATATATAACAAAATATAAGCCTGTGACATTACTTTTATTTGTGTAATAACTTGTCTTCATGTTACCTTAACGTGAGTTAATTTTATTAAATTAACTGAGGATCATGGTACCATGGTATAAAAATTGCTGCATATAAACATGTCTTCAAAGAGTTTTGGAAATGGATAAATTTAACTTTTCATAATTACTGAACATAAAACAATTCGACTAAATATACCCATTATGTTTTATGTTTTGCATAAATTTATTTGCTATTTGCTTTGGTGATTTATTATATATGGAGAATGTTTTTGAACTATATATATTCAGTGTATGGCTTATCAGTATTTCCTTTATCAAATGTTTAATATTTTGCTTATTATTATCATTGAGTAGAATTATAAACTAATCTTAGATAAATTCATGAAAATATGTAGCATTTTGACATACACGTATTATGAATTAAAATGTTTTCTAATGTTACGGTTTTTATGTTATGGCTATTTATTACTGGAAGCTTGAACATCATCATTTATAGCTTCGCCGTCCGAACTGATCATAGCATTTTAATTTCTATTCAAAAAGCCAAAAATGTACTATTCTTTGAAATTGTGTCCAGCTACCAACTGCATAACATTTTATAATTTATAAAACAAAACAACTGTTAATCCTTTCTCTTACGTTTGGGTGTAAAGATATCACATCTTGTTAAAAATCAAATTTTTCACTTTTCATATAATTATAATTACACTTCTTTGTGTTCAACACTGTAGGTACGTGTACATCATTGATAAATTGTCCCGATCCTTTCTTTCTTATTTAATTAAGGTACATCTCCCTCATTTTCAAAAGTAACTAATTGATTTGCCTAAAAAATTAGTCGAATTGTCAACACTGTTTTGTCTGTATTGAATAATACATGTAAATATCATAATAACACCAGCTATCACATATTAGTTAATCAATAAATGTTAGCTATTTCTTTAAAGTTATCAGAAAAGTAATGAAGTTTATTTCCCCAGTTGCTATTAAGGCTGTATAATTTTGTAATTTACTGTGTTTTTCAGAATCTTCAAATTCTTATTTTCCGCCATGATTAAAATGGCGTGAAAGGAAATGTAATTGCCTAATCGTTAAATTGAGGGGAAATCGATTTCAAACTATCAGCTAATGGCACATCGACTTACCCGTATTTCAATGGAAAGCCCCTTAATTTTTTTCTTGACCGTTTCATTTTTCAAAAGTTCCTCCATCTTTTTAAAATATTTCCTGTTTTGAAATGTAAAATTGAGATTAAATCCCTTTTCACAAAGAGGGCATCATCTGAACCCTACTACGCTGTGTTCAGCAGGCAGTACTGATGGATATTGGTTTCCAGATAAAACATTAAACTTCATTCTGAGCCTATCGTAATACGGCTATAGCATGTGACAGGTAAAAATCGATCCATTGATCGGCAGGTATAACTGGGCTTGCATCAGATCGATATCTCTTGTAGACTTTTGGAATAGCATCTATTAATACTGAGGCTGAAAGCCAAATGTGTACAATACAATGTAAAGTTATTCAATTCGATGATTATTTGACGTTATCGTTAAATGATCTCCTCAATCTCTACTTTGTTGGTTTGAATTTTTTAGAACACGAGTTTATGGTACATCGATAGTTGATGTTTATATCGTTCAATGTCATCAAATCAATATTGTGTAATTCTCAGAAGATGTTCCTCTTATCTTAAAATCAGATGATCCTGAATTTATCAACAACTTTTGAATAATGATTTTTTTTATTAAGGTGTGACATTGGACGACTTAAATATTTAATGCTATATCTCCGATATTTTGTGTATTTTAACAAATAATATGGTTGATGCAATATTAATTTAAACTGGGTATCAATATACATGTATTGTCGACTGACCTCCAATGATTACACGTGCATCTGACCATTGTATGGTTGATTTTGATGAGCGACAACGCTTTCTGGTCGTTCAATTGGTATCTTCATATTATATCTAACTTGGCTCATTATCCTTGGTGGTGGTTCTCTAGAACTATTACAATACAGCAATACATCTATTACATTTGTATTGGTTTTGACTTAGTTTGGTTGTTCCTTCTATCTTGTGTATTGTGGCACATGGGTAAAGGACATTTTAAGGATGATGACATCATTCTTTTCCCGTAGATCTTCTTGTCTTTTATCCATATTAACTTTTAATTACTTTCATTTAAATGGCAATTGAACCTTCATACCTTTAGAGTTAAATTATAAGATTTCTTTATTGATACTGTATTTTGTCTTTTAAAGTCTTTATTATATGTTTTCTTTCATCTGTTCTTTCTTCAAGACAAAACTCTCCAAATTACAATTTTTTGTAGATTACTGGTGATGCTACTACATGTACACATCATATAAACAAACTTTGTCTGACATAGGTATTTTAATTAAACTTGTATATTAAAATTTATGGGTTTTTTAAATACTCAAGCGTTTTCATGCTTCGGCTACTTCATTTTTATATTGTGTACATGAATTCAATTGGACAAAAGTGTTTGTTGCTGGTGTAAAAAAAGACGATATACGGTAATCTAACAACCAAGCTTTATGATGAACGTGATGACTTAACTTTTCAATTGTCAACATTCCTTACTTATGCAGCAATATACCTGCATCACCTGCATATTGAGTTTAAATCTCTCAATTGATTCGATACGCAAGAACTTTTCCTACGTATACAGTTTTTAAAACGAGGAAAATTGTTGATAAACAAGTTGATGAAACAAGAATATCAGCAGTTTCGTTTGAAGTTATCATTTCGTTGAGTTCTATGGTCGATACAATGACCTTGTCAGCGAATACAATTTGTCACTGAGTCAAATGCTGACTGACGTTTTTCATACAAATTTTTAGTCCATTATTTACCCACTGAATTGACAACGGATTTTACCATTAACTATCGATCGTGACAAGGAGCAAACGGAATCACAGGTCGACAGGGGCTGCTAACTCTTCCATGGCACTTGATCTCACCTTGATGTTTTGGAGGTCCGTGTTTGCTGCTCCTATTTTGTATTGTTTTATGGACTAAAAATGTTGAACTTGATGATTGTTCGTTATCTCCATATATTTCATAGAAGTAAAATAAACATGCCTAATGTACAAAATCCGAGAACAAATACATTTTTTATGTTGTAATGTAAATTATACATGTCAAATATAAATTTTACTTGTCCAAATTTCAGAAACAGAAAATGCTGATATGGACAATTGTACAATAGCCCGTAGACAATGATCAGTTATAAAGTTTTGGGAGCAATTCAACTTCAAACTTGTACATGTGTATATATCTTACCAATATTAATTCTAAAGCTGCAATTAAATTTGTATACTGTGCTAAAGTCTTGTGTACAATACTGTAGTATGTCAGAAAATTTGTTACATTAATGCTTTTCAAAGTTGTCATTACGGTCACATACCGCCTTTTTCTTATGCATGTACATGTATAAGAACTACACCATGTTTGTGCTTAAGAGTTGTTTCTATGCTAACCAAGGAGAATGGAAGTAGGGCTTTAATCAAGTGCTTTGTGCTTACTGCTCGATAGCACCTGATCCCACCTTTGTGTTTAGAAGTCCGTATTTGTATACTTTTCATGTAGGGAGAGGGCGAAATAAGTTTTAAGAATCTGTGCCCAATCCCATTGTATATATATATATTACAATAAAATATGTTCAATTCAAGTCCGTATTTGCTTTGTTCCATTTTTATTGTTTCGGTGCACCTTTGAGCTTTATTGCTGTTTGTTAACTTCATACTTTCTTTAGTAAGTAAAACGTCCAAATATAAACAGTTGTGGCAGACTTCGTTGTGTCTTCTTTATCTAGTTCAGTTGGATGTATCGAGTCAATATAAATCATGAATGGAATTAACTATACTGCTCATAGACAAACCGTCGGCGATATATCTGAATTTGAAGTTGAAGGACAAAGAAATTTTCTTTTTCTCAAGGAGAAAATTTTGAATATATATAGTAATTTTTTTTATATGAATTCCTTGTATTAAGTATTTCCAATTCTCTTTTCACTCAATTATCCGAAGATTCTGTGAAAAATGTGAAATGTTGAATATTGAAAATAATTCGAAAATCATTTTTTAAGAATTTTCAAGAAAATTTTTAATGATCATTTTTTTTTCTCAATCTGTATTTTTTAAAATTAAAATTTCAATTTTTAAAATTAACATATTTATATCTCCAATAAAATTATATTGAAATTAGGTTAAGAAATTAGAAAATGCTAATGATTTGGCATTTTATAGTGTTATATGAATTTTAAAAAATAGGCCACACCTAATTTTAACGTTCCAATATACTGTACATTCATTACCCCCCCCCCCCCTCATATGAAATACATGTACGTAGTTTAAAAATTGACTAAATATAAAAAAGTTGACATCAAAGAGATGCTTGAGTTTCTGATTGACAATATCTATGTGGTAATTGGAGACCAAGTATTCCAACAATCTATTGGAATTCTGATGGGTACCAATTGCGCTCCGTTATCAGAGGATCTTTTTTCTATATTCATATGAAGGAGAATTTGTGCAATATCTTATGCGTGAAAAGAAGAAAACACTTGTTGTGGCCTTCAACTCGACTTTTAGATATATCGACGACGTATTGTCAATTAACAATGGTAATTTCCATTCCTGTGCCGATACGATACATCCTAATGAGCTTGAGATAAAAGATACCACAGAATCTGACACATCTGTTTCATACTTGGATATTTTACTTGAAAAAGACGTTAATGGTAATCTAACAACCAAGCTATATGATAAACGTGACGACTTTAACTTTCCTGTCGTCAACCTTCCTTACTTATGCAGCAATATCCATTTCTCACATGCATACGGAGTTTATATACATGTGTCTCAGTTAATTCGATACGCAAGAGCATGCTCTACGTATGAACAATTTCTAAAACGAGGTAAACTATTGACAAACTGGTTGAGGAAACAAGAATATCAGCAGTATCGTTTAAAGTCATCATTTCGTAAGTTCTATGGTTGATACAATGACCTTGTCAGCAAATAAAATTTATCATTGAGTCAAATGCTGACTGACGTTTTTCATACTAATTGTTAGTCCATTATTGATACACTGAATTGACAACGGATTTTTCCGTTATTACCTGATCATGACAAGGAGCACACGGCGGGTGTGACCGGTCAGCAGGGGGTGCTCACTCCTCCATCGCACCTGATCCCACTTCTGATTGTTCGGAGGTCCGTGTTTGCTCTGCTTTATTTTGTATTGTTCTATGGACTTTGAGATTAAATACTGTTCGTTATCTCCATATCCTTCTTGAAAACAAATTTCAGACAACATTGCAATTATAATATACCCTCTTTCCAGTAGAAATCGTCATATGAATAGTGCAAAGCCTGTGTAATTTTAAATGACAGTTATTTGTACTATGCTGTATTCGAATTGCATGTATTGTCATCAGATAACAGGAAAACACGATTCTTCATAATCAAGAATGCAGAGTATTGCATAATTGTTTATGTTATTTCTTCATAATACGTACACCTACATGTGGATAAAAAATATTCTTTTAGAAAAATATAACTGGTATCAGATGATAGCATATTTTGTATCACTTTTTTATTTTTCAAATACAGCACAAAAGTATAGCCTCCACGCCCCTTAGAAGGTTCATAATTACAAAGGACACCTCACATAAGCATCAATTATATATACCGTAATGTATTCAGAAAGAACCCCAGTGAAGAATAGAAACTGGCTTGAAACAATTGTATGAAGTTAATACGTACAAAAACAGATAAAACAGAAGTTATCGCATTATAATATGTTAAAAATACATGTAAATATTTTATGATATATATGGCAACAAAATAACTGATAACAACACCAATAATTATGAATATATAAAATGATATAGCATCGATACATATAAAAAAAACTCAGGTCGATCTTTATATTGAACTTGTGTTGACAACTCTAAAATTAAATACTGACATCCTTTTTGAGCTTAAAATATGTGCTGTGGACTAGCAGGGAAAAAATCATTCAAAAATTGATAAACGATATTTTCATCTTGAAGCACATTGAATAAAAAAGCTAAGTCCATTCTTTTTTAATATTAAAATTTCTCCATATGAACAAGATTCGAAGTTTT